AACTGTAGAAAGGTCTTAGAAAAACCTCTTTACTTCCCCATAAAAATGCAAGTTGACTTAATATCTTCGTAATTAAAATTTTACTAACAAGAAAACAAAATACATTATTATTCCATCACCTGAAATTATTTGGCACGACGCTTTTTGAAGTATTTGCTGTGGTCAATTTAACTGCCTCATACTGGATACCATTTGGTGAATATCGAGAAGAAACCCACAACAAAGAAGTTCACAATTATCATCGAAGAACAGATTCTTTATACATGAGATAATCGTGAATTACTCTTAATATAATACAAAAACACAAATGCAATTAAATTGTGAAGTACCACGATTTCCGTTTGTTTAATAATTTCTATCTCACATTCACGATATACGAGAGATGAAACTTTATTAACTTGAGCTTATCATTCTTAAACTATCTTTCTGTAATCGAGATTCTAGATCCACAAGATAATGTACGTTTCTGTTCGTTATTCAAGTGATCTGATTAAACTGGGATCAAGCCCTGAACAAACAATATGCAGCCCATACCGAGCACGATGGGAAAGCATTCACAGACAAAACGCACACTCCCACAAGTATGCAATTTAAACGCCTCGTCGATCAACAAATTCAATGAAACTAGGGCCACAAGTAGTATTATCTCCCAGACAACAAGGCTATCCGCTATCATTCAATTTCCATTTGTACACTGCTGAGATAATGTGACCTCCCAGCGGCATCTCTCCATTAACTGAACCTTATCCGCAAGCCGGGATCGCGTTTCCCGCGCATCGCGGCGCGGCGGACAAACGACCTTTTGTAATCGGACAACCTCAATGAAGCCCTGTGGAAAAGAGGCCCTGGTTCAATTGAGAGGTCAAACGCGAAGCCTCGGCTGTCACCCGTTCGGTCATTCCAGCCAACGCCGGAGAAGAGCGCACTTACGAGAAAAGCGAGGCGCACTCAGATTGCCCGAGAGTTGCAAAACAAGGTTATATATGGATGAGGGGTGCCGCACAGTAGCGGTACTTAAAAGGTTATGTGGGGCGTCTTATTTATAACCCTGAACGCACCGAGGACTTTGAGGACTTCACGTCCTTATCCCCGGCGGGGATGCTGTCACGCTGATAAAACACGCGTGCCCGTCCTCTTCACGCTGGCACGCGCTCGGGGCACGGTCAAGACCCGTCACCCCGAGCGGTATGTCTCAATTGTCTCATCCAACGCTCTTGTGCAACAGAATTATTCTAAAAATATTGGTTCCGTCTGCTCCAGGCGAAGTAAATGCCCAAATGAAAAGGAAAATAAGCAAGTCTGATCAATAAAAAACATGCTGGGTCAAGCGCCGGGGGCAGTCACCCTGTTCTGTTAAAGGTCAATGTTGCCTTGTTAATCGTTTCTCCTCCCCTCCAAAAAATCCAACTCAACCAAATAGCACTAGCTCCATTCTTAATTAAAGGCGCATTCCAAGACCGAAGGCCAAACATATGTATGTAGGACTTGTCGCGACCAAACGCGCTTACCCATAACTTTTCCTGAGGCATGGGTTTTGGATCATTCAGAAAATATAAGAAATGTGAAAAATCCATGCCGTCTTAAACTCGCGACCCTTCGGGCAGAGGCAAATGGAATCGAGGCACACACTTATTATCTGGACCATCCACATTAGCAAGTAACCATTGACTAACAATGCAATATACAAAATAGCAATAAATTGACGTTAAACATTAAAATAAGGGTTTAGTACATTTACTACATCAATGTAGACATTGGAATAATATTCGTTGTTTGAAAATGTCGTTGCAGCGCTAATGGAGTGCAGGAAGATACCAACAATTGACAAAATTAAAAGAGGCAGAGGTTCTAAACTAATAAAAAATGTTTTATTTTGTTTACATAAATTTAGCATATACTTTTTTGTATTTACTCCATTTAATTTTCACACAACAGGCCACGACAGATGAATAGACAATTAACGTTGCAAATTCGGTTTTCTGATCACTAGGCCAAGGTACGAAAAATAAACGACGACGCCGACGGAGCTGAAGCTGCGCTATGAACACCGCCAAGCAGCAATCAGCTACGAATGAAACCAGCCAAAGGATCGCGAGGACGAGGGAAATACCACGCAAAGGGCACTGAAGTAGCAGCAGCTTGCTGGACACGCGTTGCAGCCGGTCACAACCAAGCGCGATACGATGATCCGAGTGGAGCGAAATATCTGGCCGCGTACATTGAAATCGCAGCTGGCCCGACATCGCCACGCAACCGCAACGAACGAAACCGGTACTAAGATCGCGAAAACGAGCGAAAGATCTGGCGGCGGTCACGAAAATAGCTGCTGGCTGGAAGCGCAACGAACACGAAGGTTGCGGCGCCGGCCGTGGGCTCCCCTGCGCGACCCGCCGATTGCGACGCACGTTGCGCGGGCCGCCGCCGCCGCTGTCACGTGCGGGCGCGGGTGCGCGCGGGAGCCTCTGGGCGTGTCGAGTCGCCGCCAGCGCCCGCACTCACGCTCACGCTCACGCTCACGCTCACGCTCCCCAGCTGCCCCGCAGCGTGCCGCTCACAAGTGGCTAACGGCCGCGCCTGATGCCCATACAATGTAGTGGGGCTACGCGCGACCGTGCGCGCCACCGCTTCGGAGCACGCGCGCGGGCCGGCGATCTTCCGCTTCGAGAACAAGGTTGTCCGGCCCTACCCGAGCGGTCCCAACCCCCTTTCTACGCGATTCGATTCGATCTGCCTCGATGTCTCATTATCCAAGTTGACAGACTGTTAATAATTAAACTCGCATCCGTTCACATTGACAACTGAGTAATAGAATCCTGAATACCGTAATTCATCACGATACATAACAAAATCAAGGTATTGCAAATAAATTTATAATTTATATTACCATTATATTTATGACTGTCAGATCATGAGTGAAAATACGTTGTTTTTTTGCAGATATAATTCAGGTATTTTTTCTTTAGCAGACTAAAAAATGCTGAAGTTTTGATATGTATAGATAATCCGACTACTGGGATGCCCACTAACTTAATCCTCAGAAACAAGCTACTCCTGAAAATCAAGTTTAATTGCGAACCTGTAAAACAGCTTTTGTGTTTATGCAACGGCGACTTAATATGACTTATTCGTAATAAAACTACAGCGACTCAAAATGACAAAACACATCTTACAAATTATTAGATTCTTTCCAAAGTTCAGATTTACATAAACAGAAATTCGATAGACCAACCAAACCACTGTGAAGCTAATTTTCAAATATGTAAATGTAATGTAATGCAATGTAAAGCAATATTGTCATAACTCTAAGCAAATTACTGAAGCGAAATTAGTATCACCGATAAGCAATTGCGTATGCAAAAGTTCATTTCAGCGGTGGCTATTCAAAGCTTCGATAAATTGGTAATTTCACATGAACGGAAATCAGCAGTCTCATTTCCGTCTCCGATATAATAATTATGGAACCTATTCACAGAACGGAGTTAACAGCGTCACACTCCAAATACAATATGCAGTTGTTCCAATTCTCCCTTCTTCCACAGGCACAGACAATGCGAAACATCGAATTGAGGACAACGCAATGCAGTGGTTTCAGAACGTGAGAAAGTCGCATCATTCAGAGAATTAAAAAAAAAAAACCACGCGTGTTTGACAAGATGTCAATTCGGTCATATGCAAAGACTTTCAGCAAAATGAAAATAAACAAGTACATTATTTAATAAAAAAGATGATTAATTTACAAGCATTAATTCATTCTGATGATTTTTCACATGTTCCTGAGTTTCAGTTAGCAGTGAAATTGCCAAGGACGTTTTGATACGAAACACGTGTTTTGGCTGTACGTATATGTAAATCTTTAAGATGTTGAACTGCAAAAACTTAAGATTGAATAGCCAAACTTCACCTATCTAGATAAAATGAGGAAATAAATCCCCGCTGATAATCGTTTCGTCAGTGAATCTCCCTCATAGATTAAAGGCAAACAGATAGGGACAAAAAAGTGGGCGGTTAATCGATAAGAATTATGAATAAACTTCTGCCAGATGTTTGAAGTTTTGTGCACACGAAACTCAGGATGGCATTGTTTCGCTTTTTACTTCCACGAAATGAAAATCAAAACGTAATATCAGATAAACCATTTACAGCTGGAAAACACCTTCGGATATCGCTTTGTTCTTCCCTATTCGAAACTCCCAAGAACGCATGTCCATATCACAAGATGATTGAAATAATCTTTGGAACATTAACTTTTAAAAGTGATGGTATTTGCTGTTGCTAACGTCATGAATACTTCATTACTGCACTCCTACACTCACAGAACAGTTGTTGAAGAGTCGCAAACTGGACCAGTAAGTAATTTGGTCACAGAATTAGAATATTCTCTAATATTTTTTCCTGTGATGAATGGTTACTATACATACAGCAACTACTAAGGAGTACCTTCAATGAACTCATGTCCTGAAAGGTTTCAATTTGTTCATTAAGACATTAGAAACTTAACTCGAAACTTACCTGCATCACTATCTCAGAACTTAATTTTTTTCGTCTGAAATCGACTTAATGCAGGTCTGATAGGGTAATTTCAACTGCAGAAGTGGCACTCTTACAGGGTTTTGTGACGACTGTTTCTTGTAAATGGAACAAAATCGCTATCTTTCCTTAGCCTATTACAGAGAAGTTAGTTTAAGAAGGCACTAATCTGACTGATCAGAAAACAAAAGAAAGCATTGCTGGATGACGGCATTACAAGAGATTGTGTCGAAGACATCTACAAGCGAGCGAACTGGAAACGAACCTAATAACAAATTGAGCATATGGACATAACTTGTAGTTACGCCGGCGGCGGTAGCCAAACAGTCGCTGGCAAAACTGTCCCTTCTTGGAGCAATCTCTCTCTCTACAAATAGATGGACGATAAGCGACCTCTGCGTCTTGTGTTGCAGTGCTGCTGGCGGCGCTGTGCGCGTCGCTCCCGGCCGCGTTGGCGCGTCCACCGGGCGAAGACGCCGTCGAGGGCACCAGCACCACCACCGACACCGCCGCCTCCGAGTTGGACGCGCTGGTGCCGGCGCCGCCGGGTCGCTGCTGCCCCAGCGGGCTGCTGCGGCCGCAGAAGGCGCCGTGCGCCGACTGGCCCCAGCACGCGCCGCTACGCTGCGCCCAGGGCTACTACCGCCTCGAGCCCGGCAAGTACGAGGAGGACCGCTTCCGCGTCGACGACGCCGGCCGCCTGCTCTTCGGCGAGGGACGCGACCCGGTCGAGCCATCTGAGTGAGTGCTTCTACCATGCTCCCCACCCCCACCGGGGGCTGTGTGGTCTAAATAATTAGACTTTTGAAAATGTCCATTAACTGAAGTTAGAGAACAAAACAAGTTGCACGCATCTGAGCCACGAAGTACAGTTTTCGGATCTGTTTCGATACGCCCCGCCTCAGTCAATTCCTGTTCTGAAAAACACTTACTTTTCGGCACCGGTACATTAATATCAATTAACTACAAATTCACGTATAAATAGCTTTTTTTAAAATAAATTTATTTAATGTGTAACAGTACGAGGTTGTCAATTCCTTTTCTTTTTTTATTAATATGTTAGTGACAATTTTATTATAACTACTTGTAACTCGAGTTTATGGGACCCAAAATCGTTTGGGCTTCCACATGAGTTGTGCCGTCACCGCTTGTTGGCCTATACGATAATTTGTATATTTTACGTATAAAGGAGTATTAACATAAACGTAAGGCACGCAGAGGGATGGAAGTTGATTACTTTTTGCCAATGAACATGTGCTGGGAAAGTGTATGTAATGAAAACAATCATGTGGCATTTGCCTCCCGACTCTTAGACAACTCACCATGTACTAGTGTTCGGCGGGTCACGCTCTCATGCAACCACCGCTATTTTGAATACCTACCGAACATATGAGCATGGTGAAATGCCTAACAACCCGCAGGGAAATGGCATATGTGTAACTTCGTTTTACGAAACCCATTTGCAAAAAGTAATCGTCTTCGATCGCTTTTTAAGAAGTTTGTAACATTTATTCAGAGATACATATACATTTATGGAATGTTATCGACGGAAATAATAAGAATTATAAAATTAAATTAAAATAAAATAAAATAGGCCGAATGCCGCAGCGTAACCCGCGCGTTCTTCCGTGCAGCTTCTGCCTGGGCACGGTGGTGCTGTCGGACAACGAGACGGAGGACACGGCGCTGGTGTGCTTCCACCCGATGGAGGACTGGACGCCCTACCCGCGCACGCGCAACCTCGTCAACGGCGTGTGCCTGAGCGTGTCGGTGGCCTTCCTCGTCGTCACGCTGCTGGTGTACGCGGCGCTGCCCGAGCTGCACGACCTGGACGGGCGCGTCATCATGAGCTACCTGGCGTCGCTCGCCATCGCCGACCTGGTGCTCGCCGTGCTGCAGTTCCACGGCCACCACCTGTCGCACGTGGCCTGCGTCACGCAAGGTGAGTTCGCTTGGGTGGCCACAGGGCACCCCCAACTCGATGCCCTGCTTACCACATTTCTCTGCCTTCATTCCAGATTTATGCTAGATATTGAAGGACCAATACGTTTATTGTGGGAATCTCACTAATGTATCAGAATTTATCTGAACTGCCAAACCACCAGTGGTATTTGACACTATTATTTCGTATAAATACAAAGTAATAAATATTCATATCACCAATATTTTAATAATAAATTCTACGATCAACACTAAAGTTTGTCTCTTCAACTCACCCACGTTGCACTAAAATATATTTTCTACGTAAATGACGTGTTTGGAATTCTTGAACCTTGTTGAGAGATCAAGAGATATAACCAACACAATTGGTTTCAAATCAAAAGAATATAAAATAAGTTTTAACCTTTGATCATGTTACCGTGAAAATGAGACGAAAACTTAATCCATTATCGGCAGTCTTAACAATAATTTATTTGTGCATCGTTGACGTTATAAAACCATTTGTATTTTAAAGGTGCCATCTCTCTTTCTTGACCTAGCTAAACAAAACCCGCGAGCAACTGTTATGGTTTTAAAATTATGTCAAAAGTGCATTAAAATTGAAATACTCACTTGTGGAAAAACAATGGGCGATAGAATTGTTCCCTTCTTTTACATAATTCAGTACATAAAATTGAGATATTATTTTTCAAACACACTTTGCTTTGTAACTCTGTGTTAGAGATCATATTGAATGTCGACACCTTACCTCTTACCAACAGCCGCCACTCTCGAAATGTTATAATCACACAATCAAGCAGCTTACGTGCCGAGTTTAGGGGGCACCCGTGCCTTGCCCCACTTGATAAGAAACCTTTCTTCCAACGCATGAAACAATATCTAAGATGTGCAATCAGATATCAAAGGAACTGATTTTTATCACAATTTAAAGACAACAAAGACACGTTTTAGAATAAATACAATCTATTGAAGAGTTACTGTTTGTGATAATGATAGAAAAAATCAAACAATAACAACAATGTTTACCTAACGACAGTTGAACAAAACAATCATTTAATTTCGAAGTCCGATTAAATTATTTATTTTGATACCCAAAGATATTCATTAAAAATCTGTTTAATTTGACATAGTTTGCTTATCAATGCCCTTCACAAGAACAACCTTGCTGTGCGTTTGATATATTACAAAAGAATACAAAGATTACGAACACTTTTGAAAGAAGATAAAATAGAAATAAACACGTCAGTATCCATTCTTCTGTAACAATACCGTTTTGTTTCAGCCTTCTTCCTATACTTCTGGCTCTTGGCCGCGTTCTTCTGGATGAACACCGTGTGCTTCAACGTATGGCGCCGAACAATCTGGTAAGAAAGGCGGTCGCAAATTGTGAGCTGTGCGAAAGAGCGACAGGGAGAAGCGCGGCTCACGGCGAACCAACTCCCTTCTGCCCCACAGCTTACGCCTGCCGCTCTCGGAGCGAAACCTGTTCACGGTGTACGTCCTGTACGGCTTCGGGCTGCCCCTCCTTCTTCTCGTCGTGGCCATCTTCACCGAGCACTTTCCCGGAAGTCATTTGCGGCCTCAATTCGGCGTCACCAAGTGCTGGTTTGAAGGTGAGTAACTATTTTCTCCGCTCCCAGGTCAGTGTGAGGCGAATCAAATGGAGACAACCCAAAGGAAATACTTGCCACAAATGACAGTAGTACTGTAATCTGTAGAATGGCTACCTCGAGAAGCAGTGAATGTGCGTTAATATTGATTCTGCAAATAATGAATGGATTACTCGTTATAGAAAACAATACCGTTCACCTCCTCTAAAACAATGCATATGGTCTGAAGTTTGAGTATCCTGCTCTTGCAAATGCACCCTTATGAGATAATGTGGAAAAAAATGTGCTTTAGCCAATTCCTTACTATTTTTTAATCAAAACAGTGAAATATAAAAGTTTAAAGAATACCCATAAGAAATAATAATAATGTAAATATACTTAAAATAAATATCTTTTAATAATAAGAATTCCTGGTTTGGTCGAAAAGATAGTAGAACATGAAAAAATCACAAATATCGCGTTGAAAAACAACATACATTCCTTCGCCCGATGGGGTAATTATTCACAATTCAATTATCCACGCATACTTAACCGAACTTAATTATACACCAGATGGAAATACAAACTACACGTTAATCTTAATAAATAATGTAACTAGTATACCTAGAACGGCACACACTTTTTCGTAACGGCTATGGAATATAATATTCCTTCTTCTACACGTATTCTACGAAAACATCAGGAATTAATTGAAAAAATCCTAAATGAAGGAAGCGCAAAAGGTTAAAAAATACAAATCTTTAATTTTTACCTTCTAAAATAAAAATTAATAACCGTATTAGTAACGCACGTAAACTTGAAATATCAAATTCGTGTGTTCAGAGGAGATGGCTTCGTGGGCCTACTTCTACGGCCCCGTTGCGGTGCTGCTGGCCTGCAACATGGTATTCTTCATATGGAGCGTCTGGTCGCTGTGGCACGACTACACTCACATCCAAGTTGACACTAAATTGCGCTCTCTGCGATGCAAGTAAGTGGCGCGTTCAGTCAACGTTTTCAAAGGTACGCAACTTTCATGGACGCCTTACGCTCATACAACATTTTCCCTTGCAGGTGTTGTCTTTATCTGAAGCTGGCAGTGCTGATGGGCATCTCGTGGATTTTTGAAATAATTTCCTTTATTGCTGGAGACTGGCCATTCTTCACGTAAGTATAGTTTATATATTTGAAACACAAGAATGAATAGGTTTAGAGATCTTCCAACGAGAAAAAAAATACTGTAGTCCAGAAAAATACATTCATTTCTTTCACGAACAGCACTAAATGCAGACCATTTAGCGTAGTTCTTCGGAATGAAATTACGATTCTCACCAATGAAATATATTTAAAAAAAAGATTGACGCAAGAAGTTGTAGAGTGAGATTCACGGAAAGCATGTCACAATGCAGTCTCGAGGAAAAGAGAGAGTTCATGTATAACTAATATCTATGTTTAGTTTATGAATATACAGAAGACCCGGATGTGGGTACTTACGTTTTACCGCAAACATACATACACGTGGCGCATGGTTGTTTTATAATATCATTCCTTTTTCAATGTGATGAGACGTCAAATTTATTCCCGTGGATTCCACGAAATCATTGAAGACTTTTTTAATGAGAAAATATTTTTATTAACAGATATTAACTTTATAAATGTGCGAGAATAAAGGGGGCACCAGACAGGTAAAAGTTCGTAGCCCTATTTTGCAATTTCATAATGGCCTGAACAAATCTAACAACCCCTTGATATTATTGAAATGAACACTTTCCAGATATTGTTTTCAAATATCAAACTTTTTAAATTCTTTCCCGATACCAAATTTCGTAAAAGAATCTGTACTGCCTTTTCCCAGAGATCTGTTCGTTACATTCCTCCCATATTACTAATTACAAAAATGTGCAGACATTGACGAAAAAACAGATTTCTGTGGCGTTAGAAACCCAGTAAGATTGAAAAATATAAAAACAATGAAATAGTTTCGATCCTGACTGAAAAATGAAAATATTTGATTATGTTAATCGCATACCTGATGTTAATATTCTCACACTCAGTTGTTCACTGCTTACGACACATCTGACGAGACAACTTAGAAAAAATCTTCATTGTTTCACACGTGCTGTTTCAGAACAGTTCATGTTTCCACACACTCGAGAGCAGCATTTTTGTTGCTGCACGCCACTAGCTTTTCCCCCAACGCTGACGCGTTCCCTTCACCGTCCTCCTCGAGCAAAGCGAACTGACGGGGCGGGTGCGGGTGTGTGCGCAGGTACGTGACGGACGTGCTCAACAGCCTGCAAGGGCTGCTCATCTTCGTGCTGCTGGTGGCGACGCGGCGGCGCGTGCTGCGGCTGCTGGTGAAACGGCGGCCGTACGGGCTGGCGCCGCCCGAGCGCTGGGCCGAGGGCCCCGACGACGAGTCCGAGGCCATGCTGCCCGAGGAGGAGCCCGCGCAGCTGGGCGGGTCGCCGCTGCCGCGCATGCCCTGCCCCGCCGACGCCAGCGAGCGCGCGGGCGCCGCCGCCGCCTCCAGGGGCTGACGCGACACGCCCCGACACTCCACGCCACGAGCTGACCGCCACCCGTCCCTCCAGGGGACGTACGACCGACTCTTCGGGGGAGCTGGGCTGCCCACGCAACTAGCCACCGATTCTCCACATGCCTCCAGGAAATGAGTCTCGTACCCTCCATTGGATAATCTGCCAACGCGTCTTCCAGCTGCCAACTCTCCAGAGAAATGGCCAACATCCCTCTCGCAAATAGCTATCCAATGAAATGAGCTCCGACCCGTCCATTCTCCAGTCGACGAACCAAGCCTCCATGGAAAGGGAACACAGTAGATATAGTGTCGTCCCATGGTTGAGCTGCCGACACACCCAACCACCAGTCGACCAGGCACCATCTCTCCAAGGGAAGAGCCACCCGTCCTCCATGTGCTACGGAGATGCCACGAGTTTAACTGCCCATCATTCAATCGACTAGAAACCAACTCTGCAAGGAAAGAGCCACTCCAGGGATGAACGCTCGCTCCAACCACTCCATGGAGGGCACTCCAGGAGCTCAACAAGCCTATCAACCAGATGACGAGCTACTAATCTTCCTGGACATCAGTCGCCCACCTTTCTGGGAAAGAATGGCTGTCCTTCCAGGGCATGAACACCTGACCAGAAGGCGAACCGGCGGTTCTCGAGAGGTCGGGACACCGGTTCTGTGGAACGTGGCTCTGAACGTGGTTCTGAAGAACGACCGGGGATTAGGCGCGGAGGTTCAGTTCCGGCGCATCAAAACCACCAGCGGCTTCTGGGAGTGGATCGTCGGCGGTCCGCGAGTGGGTGGTTCTGTGACACATCGTTTCGGATGGTCTGAAGGTCCTATCTATCGCAGACACAGTGCAGCGCTAATTCCTCAGGCCTACCGTCCCCGCGACCCCTTGGCATCACTGGAAGAGAGGAACCGCTCCTCCAGGTCATTCAAGGGAAGGGCAATCCTTATTCCTTGAGCTTCACCGTTCATAAAGGCATTAATATCAGTGCTTTCTAGGTACCTATTACTATTAACTTCTGGGCCAGCCCCATTTCCTCAGTGAAGCAGCTCGTGTGGAAACAAACTTCACAGGTGATCTTTACAAGTGACGTATGTTAGTGTCTCGAATCAAATTATCGTCTCTCGGGCAGATTAGACAATGGGAGACGATACAACGAAATCAAGTGTCTTCTAAAAGGACGCTAACGTATACCAAAGAGTGCGAATCTTAAAACTTTCTAACATAAACTAGGTGCCGTAGTGCGGTGCGGACAGGTAACACAGGACGCTAAGTGGTCAAACAACACCATAAACAGCCGGCGGGAAGTGTTATAAATTAATTAATAACAGTTCATGCACCTGTCCGTGCTGTTGCAATGAATGTGCTGACGGTACATGCTATTTTTTTACTAATCTAATAACATGTGAACATTTCAAATACATCTTTTTTACAAAAGTAAAGAATCTAAGGTCTTCTTTTTGTGAACCCATTAAACCTTACCCACCCAATGATACTGAGAACGTCAGAACAAGTGTCCATGACACTACTTAGAGACTAGCTAGTTGGTTTCGATTGGAACTAAGGTTAATTATATAATAATTTATATTTGTATTAGAAAACAAATATTAGGTAATATTTAACTGAATCGCCATTTTACATTTTAGACGCATATATACAATGAATGACAGTTTATTTTCTCACAAATGTCAATATCCACTATAAAAAAATATAGTTACTCGATAATTCCAGAGCTCTCTCGACTACGAGTATCTCGTGTTCTCGTTAAAGACAGTGCAGCAAATGCTTCCAAGGAACAACTCACTAACAAGGTGCTAATCCGTATAATTTCTTCAAGTGCAAACAAGCACGAAAACTGCAAACGAGCCGGAGGACAGCAGTGTCCGTGAACAGTGAAAAACGAAGGGAGTTTCTGTACCAGAAAAGCAGACAACGCGAGCGTTTGTTTAGGCATATCGTCCATCTTTAATAACTAGAAGGCGGACAGCTTTCGTACAACCAGTTTCTCCGTCTCTGACAAGCATTTCTACTAGGTTCGTTTTAGGCCTGGAGTTCCGAGTATGAGACCACCCCCAGCCTCCACGTCGTCAGCGCGGTCCGTGTGGGCAGGTCGCGTGACGCCGCCTACCACCTTGCCGCACCCGCCGCCACTTGCGTCTCCGGGCCGATCGGGCGTCAAAGCGGGCACGGAGCGCTCACCCGCGAGGCACGACGTAAACACCGGTTATTACTCCGCGGAGCACATGTTCTCTCGCAATCTCTGATCACCGCCGATCCATCACCTGGGCTCGTGACGCTCGGCGGCAGCGACGGCCGGCTCTTTGCACAGGCGAGCACTTCCGCCGGCGCCACCGCCGCCGCCGCCGCCGCCCGTCCACACGCAGTCACGGCCTTCATCACCGTTCCCTCTCCACCACCGCCACCGTCACAGCAGCCGCTTGCTTCGTTTCGGCCCAAGGCGGAGATCCATCGCCGTCGCACACGCGCCACGGCCGCCGCGGCGCGAATTGCTACGTCCGCCTCCATTCCCCGCTTTTTTCTTCCCGACGATGAAGGACGGCGCGGGGCGGGGCGTCGCGGGGCGGTGCTCCGGCGTTTAACCCCCTGGGTGGTCTTCGCCGTCACCGCCGATGCTGATGATGTTGACGTGTGTGAGGCCTCCCGGCCCAGCACGGTAGTCCGGAATGGGTCCGCGTGATTAGCGTTGAATCTAGATACAAAAACTCGACCGCACTGAAAGACGTTTATGAACGCTTGTGCCGAGGTTTGTCATTCCACCCAAACGCATGTTTTTACGTTTTATTGAAAAAAAAAAAGGTTCTCCCTTAAAATGTTCCATGAAAAGAAAATTCTAGAGATCTGTATTTCAGGATAGTACTACACCAAAATCCCTATAAAATCTAAACGGTGCTCGAAGATGCTAAGGCTGTAGCCCCCGCTATAGAAACAATACCATTAAATACAATTTTCACCGACATTGAAAATCCAAATTTTATTCTCCCAAAAATATATCTGCAATAGGGTTGCTTCTTATTCGCCGTTGATATTATATAAGCAAAATTATATTTAAACATGGGGTGTCTTATAGAAGCATAACCGAGTCGTATTTGGTGAAATTGTAGTTAAAAATGAATGGGGGAGGGGTCTTGTAGCACGCAAATGTGGCATTTCGAAAGCTCGCCCTTTCCGCGGATCCTGGGCGAGAGCGCGCGGAAGCTCCGCCCACCGCAGCCGCCGCGCAGCGCCGCGGGCCGTCACGAGCGGGGGAGCCGCGGCGGCGGCGTCCTGCCTCCCACGCGGCGCGCGCGATGACACACAGCTTCCCCGCCCACGCGCCCTCCGACACTCGCTCCGCTCCTCTCCAGCGCGAACGCAAAGGCCATTTGTTTGTCGACGTGGCACAAACGGCAGACGAACGGCTTCACAGGCGTAAAGAGGCCATTCACATTGAAAGCGTTAACGTTGACGTGAGGACATAAGCTTGCACTTTTAAAATAAATCTGGACGTACTATTCCCAATAACTGTTAACGTATACACTGACATATCGATATCAAAACAATAAATAATCCGCATACAATTTTTCTACAAAACTGAAGAGCAATAACATAGCGCGTATTTGACTCTACGGAGAGTTTTTTGAGCAACGATAATGATGAATGGTAATTTAAGGGCTTAGAAAATGCATAAGTTTATGCCTAACAAATATACGAGACGTTTTTGGATCTGCAGTATATCGTTCGTGTATTGTTCTCAGATCACTCTAACGTGAATGTGACAGATAGATCTCGCCAATTTTCTCAGCTTCGGCTTACGTTTACATTCACCATTCTAAATGGTGCCATCACGGCACATGAGCACCGCGCTTCTGCGTTTCAGTTTACGTTAATATTCTTCCTAAATGAGCAGTAACTCTTGATTCAACTCTGTTTCATTGTGCACCTCCGAGCAGGAAAGTCAATAACAGACACATCCCAGATGACGCGTGGAAGCCCTGAGCGACGGGAATATTAAAGTTGGTCAGCCTACGCCATTTAGTTCTTCGCCAATTGAATGTATGATACAGTGAAGAAATTAATATGAGATGCTAGAGTAAATAATGATACATAATATACGATTTTTTTTCAATGCAAAATGCTGTGTTATACCACTACCTAACACGAATTGATCTGCATGTAATATAATGTGCGATTGAATTAGCTCACCTAGTCATTTATGTCTGTTCTCAAACCCACTTCGAATATAAGGAGAGTTACTCACTCTCCATTCTCTTTTCCATTCGTCGCTACGACCTGGTGCTATGCTTGGGTCTATGCTTGCTCAAGTAATTTCCTCCTCTATTTTCGGTCTCTTAGTAGATTCTTCCCGTTCTTGACACCCAGAAGTTTCAGGTCCCGCAACACATCATTTTCTGATCTAATTAGCGGTCTTCGTTTCCATATTTTGTTAGAGGCTTTCAGTTTGCGATTTGCTTGGTGCCTCCAATGTAGTCCATTCTTTCTACATTTAACCAAGCACTCTTTCGGATTTTACATCTCTTACAATGCTTTTATATTTCATCAGGTCTTGTAACTCGCTTGATCTTCTTCTCCAAATTTGAAGTGCGTTAGGACATAACCACAATATATATATACTATCGCCACGGAAAATTTTCCCCAAATTGGCTTTTTTAAATCGTTAGATCGAAAATATATCTAAGAATCTTTCTCTCAAATACTAATATATATTGTCTCATTTGTCTCTCGTCTAATTGTCAAGAACCTACCGCTCTGCTTCTTCAATAGTAATATCTATTTCACGCAAAATGTGAGCTGGCACTACGTACTCCTGAAAGTCGCATATATAACGCATCCCCAGATGCGTGTATTTTCGAAGAGCGGAATATTCACAATAGCCATGTCATTCTTATGACATACGAAAGCACCCTGACGGATGCCTGGCAAAATTAAATCCCTCCGAAAATACCTCGCCCTAACGAGATCTCCTTTTTTCCTAAATAGATAGCTCGGACATCGCAAACTGAGACAGGTGAAAAAAGAGGCTGGCATCCGAAACTGCTTTGAATATTCTCATAAGGGGATCGCTAAGGATTTCATGCGATCTATGCATTACCATACCATTACCAAGAAGGTATTGGAACTGCAACAGTGAAGTACAAATTGAAAAATTCTGAAGTATGGATTTCCATGGACTTTCATTGCTTCTTGTTCAAGCTATAAAATTCCACCATAAAATGGCTACACCCACCAAAATGTTACAGCATCTTTTACATTTGGATCGAGCATCATATTTCGGTCTTTAAAGTATACCATCTTAACACTTGGGTGGATGGCCCAGAAGGAACCATCTCAAGCCTGGGACAATGATGAAATACCCAGTCACACACTCTATTTCCGTATAATTTCCAATGGAAAGATAATGTTGTGAATTGCAAATATTTAAAATGACGTCAGAAATTCTGTCATTAAACAGCTCATTTCCCTGCTGTCATTACAGATTAATATAATATGTCCCATGCAGATACGGTCAATATGGTCCGCAAATGTGGACTAATCTTATCGTAAAGGACTGGACCCGGATATCATTTCTTTTCCTTCTACAAGGGTTTCATCATCTGGATATTCTTCCTTTATTTACACTGAAGTCGAAAGTATGTATTGAAACTTTTATTAGAATATGAGTATTATACTTTAGTGTCCTTAATTCGTGAGAACTCAAACATTATAACGGGCATCACGAGGAGCACCAAGTATTTTAAATGTTATTGTAAAAAAACAAAGTGGTTTAAAAGGTGAGCGTTGCCACAACTTTGAGTCAGCTAGCACATGACTATCACACAGAGAAAGTTATTTTAGGAGTGAGATTCCAGGAGATGATTGTTCCCATGAGTACGAGATGAATGTAAAAAGCATGTGGGTCCGTACGCCAAGGCCACAATACAAACGAAACTGCAAACACATTTTCGTCAAATGTTTCTCACGCAGGACACTTTGGACGCAGAAAGCTAATGCCGCATAAAGTGTTCGTAAGAGATGACGCAAAACTATGAGCATCACGAAAAAGCCATTAACATTCACGTGATATTTAAATAACAGGAATTGAGGAAATACATTACAAAAGCAATAAACGACCTTCGAAATATTCCCTTAAAAAGACACACCCAAGCAATATATTTTTTTTAAATGGAGATTTTCTAAAACAGTTGTGGAAATATCAAAGTTCGATAAGCCACCAACTGCATGTGCAATTATAGAGTATAATAAGAGCAGATGGATTTAATGCATAACAACCGTTTTAAACAGCACTTCAAAAAGTACGATAATCGATTCATCCAATAAGTTAGAAGATAAAACGCATGGTCTAATAAAAACTACTGCAATTTCCGCACTTAAGGTCTTAATAAATTTCAAGTACTACTCACTAACTTTTCAAGGGCTTTCAACA